TTTAAAGACACAGTGTGCAGTTGAAAGGACCATGTCACAGTTCTCTCACTGCTTTTCAGTGGCAAATGTGCATCCACTTGCAGACTTTCTCACTTGCAGGTTTTGGGATCTTACTTGGTGCCACAACGGAGCTGCAGCTGAACAAGGCAGCACCTACTCCCTTTCTTTACAGGTTCTCTGCCCACACATAGCTGTATTTCTACGTGCCTTCACCTGCTCCCTTTCAGCTTTTCTTTCCTTCCCTGCCTTCTTAGGTCTTCTTTCACTGAGCACTTTTAAATTTTTGAGTAAGGATGCCCAGTTCAAATTTGAGCATTCAAATTCATACGACAACATCTGAAGCAGGTGGAGTCCTGAAGTCCTACAAGGGCATCAAAAAAAGCATCTCTGGACATCAAATTCAGAAGGGTTATTCCAGCATTGAACTAGAAATGAGGGCAAGTGTCAGGTGTCAAATTATACAGCTACCTTTACTATATCTTGCATCAACTGACCCAACATGAAAAATACATGACCACTCAGCTAAGAGATTAAAAAACAAAAAACCATCCAAACTCATCAATACCAATTTAATTAAAATTTATATACATTTATATATATATATAATCCAGTCATGTCATCAGGGAAAAGTAATCATTTTTAAAGGATCAGCTACACACAAGAAATTTCTGTTTTACTTTCTGTCTAGATAACATATTATAAAAGTCCTGACAAGTACATAGATGTAAGTATATGAAGAACAGCAGCTTTTTTTATCACCTGCTGACAGCTTCAGCATTTCAACCATTCACATTTGTAAGAAGCCTAGTAGGATTTGGAAGTGACTATACTAAGTAAAATGCCTATATTCTGCATGACCACTTAGTGTTCATGTCACTGTTTTGCAAGCTACAAGCAACTATTCCAAATAATGTTATGGGAAAGATTGGGACTGGTAAGACAATTCCTGGGTCACTGAGTCCCACTCTTGATATTACAGACAAGTACAACCTGTACTATCTGTACAATCTGCTTCATGAATTCTGTACTGAAGAAAGGTATGGTCATATACTGTAGACTGGGACTGAGACAGCAAGATCTGTGATGGGGAAAGAATAAATTAAATTAAAAAAAATGAGGTTGCAACTGGAGTCAGCAAACTTTTATGTAAAATGTATGAAACCAAAATATTATTACAAGTCCTTCCCCATGCCCTTCTCCCTCAGTCATTAACTACTTGTCTTTCTCTGACATACCCCTCTGAAATATAAACATTTTTTCTTAGTGCAGTTCTTCCTTTTACACATTCATCCTGTCATCTCTTTAGGAAAGATGCTGTTTGAACTTGTCAAGTAAAAAGAGGTTGTGCTAATGCATGTGAAGACCACGAGTAGTACACGCCTTTAAGACTATTTTATTAATACAACTTCTTGGCAGGATTCAAAAAGCAGTTTACAGAGAATGCTGCAGCAATACAGACTTCTTCCTAGCTGGGACTCTTGCAATCTTGCCATGCTCCCTCTTTCATTTCAGCTTTGCTAAGGAGTAGAAAGTCAACTTTAAAAGATGAAAAAAAGACTTTGTAAAAATGGCATGACAGAACACTGCATTCATATTGTTAAGTTAATATACAGTAAATATATTCAGTTTGCAAAGATAAAGATTTCCCTTTCTCCTGCTTCCACCACTGCAGACTGCTGAATTTCCCTTTCTTCTTTCTTGCTTACATCACCATCAATAACAAAACAGTCAAAAGACCCAAACCTTCTGTGCAGCCACTTACTGACCCTGAACACCTAATTTCTGCTAACATGATGTGGCTGACACTTTTGTTATTGATACTAGAACTAGTAAAGATTTATATCTAAGTTGTGTTCTGCAAAAGTAAGAAGTAGGGATGAAGGCAAGAGATGGCAGAAGCTGACAGATACATGTCTAAACAGCAAAAGTCTGCTGCCCACATTAAAATAAGTTTCAATTTTAGGTAGTAATTAAAGTATATGCCCATCTTAAAGATCAAAAAGCAACAAAAAAATAACAACTAGCTATCTAGAGATTTATTACTGGTATGTTGTGTAGCCATCACTTGATAAGTACAGAAATACAAACACACACAAACAGAGCAGACAGAAAATAGTTATCACTTCAAAAATACAATGCCATCTGAAGTGCACTGCATTGTGATTATTTTACAATGAGTTTGCTAAGGTGGGTTTCAAAACATGTTTTACATCATCTTTTACCTTCCAACCTTAATACTTAGAGAGAAAAAAACTACTATTCCTATTTAATAATTTCCCTTCCATTTCTTGACCAAATTTTGTTCTTATAACCACATTTTTGAGTCAGCCCCAAAACAGGAGGAGGAGTGAAGAAACAACATATTTTTCTTCCCCCTATATTTTTCTTTTAAGTAGGTAATACTAAACAGAGAACACTGTTGTCTGACTCAAAATCACTGTAAGGACGCTTTATACACATTTCTTTTGACAGCTCAAAAGAAGCAAAAGGAAGTCAAGTACAACAGAAAAAAGAAAATATTAAGTTTCTGAAGTTGAATTTTGAGGATAAAGAAAAAGTAATAACTGATTTCTTCCTATCATAGCCCTGAAATGCTATGATAGAGGCTGCAACTTTCCTCCTAACTCTCTTGCTGCAGAACCCTTAAAATTCTATACAATAATATTGTAGCAAATACATTAACATGCACTATTAATCTTTTAAATGTGAGATTCAGCTATATCATCCTCCAGTTACACTGCTTCTACAGCTCCTTTTACTTGCAAAGTCACTATTTAAATATTTGTATCAACTTTTAAATAGGTCTTCTACAGGTGTTTTGAAAAGCAAGATTGTTTGTATCAATGAAGGCACCTACAAAGCACCACTGTAAACATTTTCCACACCAAGAAACAGGAGTTTCTTTAGGGCTTGTAAGCTCTTTGCAATCTGGAGCCATATGCCATTTCAGTACTGCTTCAAGTCCTCACTTGTTAGACCCTTTTTAATGTTGAATTGATGCCAAGGTCAGTCATCATAGCAGAGGTTTCCCGTTTAAAAGCTTACCCTTTTTTAAAAAATACCTCCACACACTTTGGAGTATTAGCACAGCTTTATGCTAATACACAACAAAACTTGAAAGGCACTTCTACTTTCTTCAGTTTTACCACACCCTCTTCTGCCCCCTCACACTCAGTTCAAAGGCCACTGAAAGTCAGTGGTTACAGACTGGGTCACACATTTCATGAAGAGCAGGTACAACCCTGGAGCGTGGCAAGAAGCCCTGCAACTTCAAAACATGAAGAAGGCGGTTTCTGGACAGCCTGGTAAAAATCTAATGGCGCCTTAGAAAGGACAACAGACATGGCACACTTAGAAACACATCACTGGAAATTAAAAATAAATAAGTAAAAGGTACTGACAATACGTACTTTTGACAAAGCTGGCTGAACAGCACTTTGGGAGAAAGAGGACCTTTTCCAGACTCCCTCATGCTGTGAAGGAACAAGAACATCGCTGAAGTCAAGGGTCCTGGGCTGGAGAGGTTCACCACCAAAGGATCCTTCAAAGCAAAGGTAAATTGGACATCAGATTCAAAGTTAAAGACACATAGGACTTATTTCAAGTTAGTACATTTATGACAAAGAACAAAGTAACTTTTAGTCTTAAGAGTGTTTTGAGGTTTGTTTTTTTCTTAAATGTTGATGACACCTACCTGATTGAAATAGTTGAAGAGAAAGCTTATTATTTAAGCAGTAATAGTTGCAAAACCAAACAATTCTTGTTGAGCAATGATTGGTAACCAGTAGTTTTGGAAAGAGGCATGTCAATGAGCCAGCCTGATTCTCACAAAAACAGAATAGCTCCCCTATCACCTGCTCTTACTCTTACTCCCAAGTGCACTGAAATTCAGCTAGAGAGACAACACGGTCAATCTCCTCCATGGGCCAGCATAAGACGGAGCTCAGTGGCACTCTGTCTACTCAACCTTAGGGAAGAGGTGGCCAACATCTCTGACCTGTGAGCTGCACACCAAAATTTCCACATACCCAACAGCCACAGAAACATGCCTTCCTCCCCCAGGAACCAGGCACCAGGAAGGCGCCAGCAGTGGTTCGCTGCAGGGGCTGACAGCAGATTCCAGAGGTCCACTGTGGTGGTGGGGGGCAGGCATGGGGGGCATCCCAAACAGCCCCTCCTGGTGTGAGATTTGCCCCGGCAGCAGGTCCTGGGGCTGGAGGAGCCAGCCAGCAGCCACCCGAGCCAGCCTTTGAGCAGGGGATGCTCCTGCACCACTTACATGCCACCTGCCTCTCGACAGCCACAGACCGCCAGCTCTCCCCAACACGCTCCCAGGTTCATACGTGGTGACCACAGTGCTTCCTCCTTGCTGGCCTGACTCTCACAAAACCAGATTACAATTGCCAGATAAACAATTAGAGACACTGCCTCATCCAGAAAGCGGATCCACACAAAACACAAGCGCTATGGATACACACAAATATAATGTATTTCATTGCCAACAGGTGGGAAAATGCCCTTTACCAAGCAGGAAGCTGGGAGTTTCTGCACTCCTATTAGTTACACTACTGTAGCCCTCGAATCCTGCGCTGACATACAAAGACCAGAAAACACAGTTTGTGCTCCAAAGATCTTCCTTACATTGTAAGCATTGTCATTAAACAAAACAAATAAAACTTTCAACCTTATGGCTGTGCAAGTTTCACGTCAAGCATAAGACAACGTACCACTGGCTTTCTAAGCCTCCAGGCACAAACAAGCTCCAGACCTCAGTTGTGGCTCAGGAATAATTTAGGGAAACATGTTACTGCTCAGAACTACCACTGGAGGTAACACAGACAGCAATGCAGTGAATTTCACACTCTTCTTGCCCGGAGAAGCTATGAACATCACCAACGGCAACATACAGAAATCATCATTTCAGAGGTATCTGAAACAGAATCCCACCCCTCAGACCTCACTGCCACCAGAAAGCTCCCAGCAAACAGGAAAAAGAAAACTCTTTGTAAGTTGCTTTATTTAGCTAGCAGAGGGAAAGGGGTATTATCTCTATTGCCAACAACATATTATGAAAACCCAAGTCTCAAAGACCTGACTGGGAAGAGCAGCATACACTTTTGACAATGTCTCTTTCCCATATGCCTCCAATGAGCTTAAGGACAAGAAATTTGGTCCTCACTGAAATCTTGCTTCTCTCAATTTAATCCTCTGGCATATGAAACATGTAGTAAATTTTACAAGCCTTATCGATAAAGGGTTGGCACCAACTGGAATAAAATATTTAATGAACACTTTCTAGAGCCAAATATACTATTTCCTATATTATACACCACAGTGAAGAAATGATATGGGAAACAAAAATAAGCCAGCCACTCTTTCTTAAGGTCAGGCATTATGAGTTACTTCAGTGTTACAAAATGTAAAAGGAGGTGATTACTCCTCCTCCTTTGGGGCTGAATACCTAGCTTGGTAAAAGGAGTGAGTTCACAGATATCATAAACCAGCTAAAAAATTAAAAGGCAAAAAGAAATGGGAGCGTAAGAGTGTCTCTTTAATGGAGATGCACTTTCCCAACCTCCAGCTTCTTCCCACATTTCCCCAAATTTGTTTTTCTTACTGTATACTTACCAATTGGGAGTCTGAAGTATGACAGATTTTTAACTTTGTTCCTTTCTCCTTCATCTCATACATAAGTTCATTTAATACGTGAGTCTGTGCCAAGTTCTTAAAGAAAAAAAAAAAACCAAGAAACACATGTGGATCTTTCAACTATATATTTTTCTTTTGTTATAAATTCTAACTTCAGGGATAGACAAAACCAGATATATTTAATAATGTACAACTGAGGTTTAAACCAGACCACTAGAAAAAGCAGGTATTACCCTTATAAAAGCCAAGATCATTGATCTCAAACTGTTTCTAAAATTGCATCTACTTCTGCTTCTGTAATTCCAAAATAGTTTCCTGGTAATAACTTTGTTATTTTTGTTGAACAACAATACTCATTTGGGTTTTGGTTTCTGGGGTTTTTTGTCTGGTTGGTTGCTTGGTTTTGTTTTGATTTTTTTTTTTTTTTTTATGGTGAGAACATTAGTATCAGAAAACATTTATTTCCTTAAACTCTGCAGCTCCCCTCATCATACCCCAAGAAGCACAAGCGCTTTGGCACAGTGAAAAACATTACCTCTCTGAATTTAAGAGAGAAACCAACTCAACACACCTCAGCTTTGTTCCTTTATTTTTGGTTAACTTTGACTGCAGATCACTTGGGTTTCTACAATGCCTTAAGTATGGACAGGGAACAATCTGCAGTAGTTCTACTCCTTACAAATTTACTATTTGTTGTCTGAGTTTTGTAATCACCACCACAAACACAAGGTAAAGAGTGAGAGTTCAGCACACCTTCGTAGCAGTTCTCTCTCATTTGCTCACTCCTGTCTGCAGACATACAGACCTCTCTGCTCAACCAACAAGCAATAGGATGCTCCAATATAAAACCCACTAAGGCTGCTGCTTTTTTTAGGATGTTGGAGTAGTTGTACACTCAACATCAATAAAAGTGTATTGGTATACCTTATTCCTTTTATTCTGGTCAGAAAAACCTCATAATCAATAAAAGTACTTTCGTAACTGCACCCATTGTAGGGGCTTACAATCCTCACAACGCACTGTGCAGACATTTATATTATGCATAAAGTAACACTTTTCACACCCACCAGCACTGCAAATACTGTGCATTACTCATGACTGCCTAATGCTGAACTACAAATAAAACCATATGCTAGAGTACAACCCACACACTTATGCAGTATGTAAAACACTTGACATTTTCATTTGTCTCAGTACTTTGAAAAATGCTACTCATCCAGGAATTCTTTTTTAGTTATAACAGGAAATACTGCTCGGATAACAAGGAGCAAAAAGAATTTTAAAAGGCCCATCAAAAGCAGAATGAAGACTGGTAACAGTCAGACCCTTTCTGAAGTCCACAGCTTGTACAGATTAATCATTTCTGAAATCTATGAAGAGAAAGCTGTATGATCTTTCCATCTTACCTGCATGACAGCATTAAAAAAGCATGTATTTCCTAAATTATTTATTCCTTTGACTGGAACAGATGCACCATTACCAGAACCTTTTCCTTTCAGTATTTCACTGGTTTCACTGTTTTCTTCACGGAGTCGTATGATTTTTGATGAACCTATAATTAAACTATAGATTAACACTACTATATAATTACATAGTTTAATAAGTACAGTCCTTCCACAGAATATATGTATCATTTTTAACATATGTAGAAAGATACCTTGATGGTACTCTAAACTGCTTTATGTGATCTTTAAAAAAAAAAAAGACATCAGCAGTTAAAACCCTGGCAAAAAAAAATCCCCCAACAACTACATATATCCAACAAAACCTTTCACAATAATCACACTGTCCCTAAGATTTCTTAAATTACCCAGGCAATAAATAAATTAAAATGGGTTCTGTAAGTTTATTAACAGTTGGCAGTTAAGTTGTACGTACATTAAACACACTAGAAGCACCAACAAAGGCTGCCTTTGATGTGTTTGAAGAGAGGTAACCAAAAGGTAGCACCTGAATGCTGCAAGTCTGTACCGATTATCGCGCTCTGGCTGAATCGCCCCGTACGACTCGGTCAGCGGTGGGGCCGGAGTTGTTATCAGTTTCCCCAAACACTACATTTGCTCCCCCACCCACCTCCCTTTGTCACAGCCTGAGGAACTGCTAACACAACCCAAACGTATACAACGCTGCTGTTTTAATTTTATACAACAAAAAATTTGATAAAATTGCAATGGAATATGCTACCAGTGTATTTCCCTTATTATTTAAATAGATGAGGGGCAGCAAAGTTAGACAGTCATTAACTTGTAGCCTAGAGGTAATGGAAAGACTTGAGATAACAATATTTAGCCTCAAATTCTACTAGCAACTTTCATATTGTCATGGTTGCAGGACTAAATATGAACATTACTGACATCTGCAGTGTCTTAAATATTGATTAACAATGCATGTCAATGTAAACGAGTTATGGACTTAATAGATGCCAAGAACTGTGATGCTGCAATCTCTGTCTTGACATATGAATTCATATATTTGTTCTAATGAGTTTCACATTGAAGTCTCATTAAAGTGTTCTTGAGAAATAACTAACAGACCTATTTACGTTAATGAAATGCTCATGCCAAAAGGTTCTTTTATGTACACTTCTAGGTAGCTTCTTGCTTAGAAGATGAGAAAAAAAATAATTAAATAAAAAAGAAGTCATTAAAATATCTACTGCAACTGGCAACAACCTTCTGACGCAGTTTGCCTGCAACCTATAGTGCCATCAAGGCATAACTATATTTCCAAATCGTATCCGAGTTTGTCAAAACGCAGGTGCTTTGCTGTTTAAAAACACTGTTAAATGGTCTTGGTAATACTGCTTACACAGCTTTGAAATATTCTCCTTCCCACTGGTGTGGAAAATTAAGACAGTACAAGGGCAAAGTAAGAGATCAAGTTCTCCTTGAAAAAGCAGACGTGTTTTTGAACGCAACGAATGACAAATAGCTTGGGAGCTGCTCACACCCTGAAACAGTCACTGTTTTAAGGGCTACGTCCAGCAACACCTTTTAATTGACATGCTTACAAGGCACACGCTACAGTGTCTGAGACTTGTCCACCCACACAGAGCTCCAGAAGAACCTTAGCAGAAGAAAGGAGCTCCAACTGTCTGCAACTCGAAGGCACTGCTCACTCTTAGGAATTTAATAGTATAAGTGGAGACTTCCTCCCTCAGAAAAGGGTACCACAGAGAAATGCTGGGGAGAAGAGATGGTTAATTTTATTTCTTTTAAAAAAAAGGCAAAAAAAAAAAAGCCAAAATTGTGTAAATAATTTGTGTATTAGTATACCACAGTTGTTGCATTTATCCATCGGCATTCAAAAACATCTGGGACAGCATCTTAAAGTAAACAATGTTCACAAGGCCATCTGGACAAAACTGCAGGCAAAAATTAAAGCATAAGCATATGGAAAAGCAGATTTTTCTCTTCCCTTTAGCAGTACAGGATGACAAATGTCAAACCTAGATCTGTCCACGCTTCACTGTGCTATGCTTTGCAGCACCACCTGGCTCTCCTTGCACAGCCACCAAATATGGACAGCACTGCCACAGCGGACCATATCTGCAGGGCAAACTCAATAAAAGCATTTCACTTCATGGTTAAATGGCAGCTTCACACAAGTAGCTAGGTTCCATTTGCTGAACCTTACATACCAATTATTTAAGGGGGGAAAACAAAGCCGAATCACCCAGCTTTGCGATAAGGGCTGGATGAATACGCAATTATAAAACACAATAAATGACAACGAGACATCCGATTGCCACAAAGCTGGATAATTAGTATAGGGATAAGGACAAGCAGTAACAAATTAAGAACAGGCCTGCATGTTGTTACAGAAGTCTAGGAACCTACTTTCATTCAGAAGGTTTTAATTACTGCCTGTTGATTTTTTAATAGATTTTACAAACACAATTAGCGTGACATTTTACTAGTTTTTCGTAACTGTGAAAAAGTCCTGACGAAAAGTGTCGCTTTGCCATTACAAACATTATCTGCTGCCTCACTTACTCCATGCGGATATATTTAAGGACATACACAGAGCCAGAGGAGGGACAGCAGTTTTCAATTTAACTCTGCTCAGTGTCCCCAGCTCAGTGATAAATGACAGACAGGCCTGAAGCTGAATGTTTAGTTGACATGTGAAGAGTTGGTCAGTCTTAATAGAAGATGCTGGTAATGCCTGTGATAGCTAATACTTCTACAGATTGGGGCTGGAGGGTCCTTCTGCAACATTAACCCAAGGCTACAAGCATGTTATTAATCAAAAGGGTAATACGTAATTTTTTGAAGTGAATTTGCGCTGAACTGTTCCATAGACTGTTGCAATCCTCTAAGGTTTTAACAGGCATGCATTTTGGATATGAAAAGTGACTTTTATGCCAGTACAGATACAACAAGGACCCCAGCAAAAGGATTCCATCGAATGCCCAAAAGGGCCTTCAGCTCCTGGACAAACAGTGTCGTGAGGAAAGAAGTACTCCGAGCCATCCGGCTGCGTGCAGTAATACCTGTTACAAAGGACCTCATTAATGTTTACGAGAGCAAGGCAGGTGAAAGGCACAAAAGTAATTAAATTCATAGATTGATCTCTGTCTAGTTCACTATCACATCTCTTAGAGAGTTGACATGGTGCCCCTCAACCTCTCTGCCCTTCTCGGGCACTGGATGTGGACACCAGCTCCAGGCAGGACTGTCCCTCCAGAGTGGGGACAGCGTATCTGAATGTGACTGTTTGGGGCTCACACATTCAGACTGCGCCTCTCTGTCAGGCTCCTTCTGCAGTTTTGTTGCAGAGGTGGCCTTCCTAATCCAGCCACGCAGGGAAAATGCTGACCCAACTTGTGCCTTGATCACCACAGTCTACTTTTCCCTCAACAAAGCACACCTGTCTGCAGAGACGCCCCACCAGAGCACTGTGCCAAGAGCCATTGCCCAGCTCTCCACCCAACTCATCACACCCAGCTGCCTGGCTCTTCCCTGGCACCAGGTCAGTGCCTGCCTCTGGTCCCACCACGCCGTGCACCTCCAGCGCTCGCTCCTTCGGCTCTCCGACAGCTGCAGTTGTGCTCAGGCACAGCCTTCGCGTCCAGCAAAGCTTCCTGATGCCACCCTGCTCTCCCCACGCTACCAATCCCCCCTTCCCACCAGACCCAGAGCAAAGAGGGCAGCAGCCAGAGTTTGATCCTCCGCTGCAGCTCTCACTCCCGTCTTGCCACTCTTCCCTTCACCTTTTTTTTTTTACCTACTTCTGCTCACTTGTAGTCCTGTCCCACAAGCTCTCGGGAGGCAGGGAACATCATTTTGTCCCAGAGCTGCACAGCACCAGCCTCGTGGGTATGTGACTGAGATTCCCAAGCCAAATGTTAACGCAGACAGTAATTCAGTCTACGAATCGGAGCAAGTCACCAGATCAGCTGTACAAACACACACGGTGCTGACACATCTTCTTGCAAAAGACATTCAGAAAACTTACTGCAGGTTCCCCACCAATTTGTTTTACCAGTATTTCAAACATTGGCAGCTCACACGGACTTCTGTTGAAACTGAGCTGTGCCTGGGGGTGCAGATGGTATGCAAGCAAAAAGATAAATGACATCCAATTTTTCTTTCAGCCAGGAGAGTAAGCATTTTTGCTCATCTTTTCAATGCAACTTTTTTTTCTTTTAATTAAAAATGAGGGTCCTGGGAATATGCACTTTTATTCCAAGGTCAAGCCTTTTCTATTAAATACAACTCTGATACTTCAGTTGAAGGTCTTCACAGTAAAAGCAAGGTTAATAGATTGCCTTTCTTCCAGCAGATTCTCATCACGCTGTATTATGAAATGCTACTAAATTGTCTGATGCTCCTTTTTCATTTAAAAAAAATATTTTTTTTTTCACCACTGTACAACAATGAGAATATAACCCTTAAAAGAACAGCATGGTTCTCTTCTGAAATGGTCACTAGCTTTACATTTCAAAAGCCCAATTCCTCTGGCAGTGTTGCAATCTCACTGAATTAAAGATTACAACTACAAATTTATTTCCCTGATTCTGACAGAATGTTATAAACTAAAAAATACGTCTGCACAGTGTGAAAGAACAAGCTATTCAAGCACCAATTTTGATCCTCTATGCTCAAGATGACTTGTGCTACACCTCACAGGTAAGTAAGTATGTGGACAGGAAAGGGAAGAATCTGCAGATAAAAATTACAGAATATCTAAAAAACATTTTGCCAATGATTCAGTTTTCATTTCTTTGCAAAATGTCTAATTAACAGCAGCCCCCAATAAATAAGTAAACTTGAAAGAAAATTTCTGACCAACAACAGAACTGTCTTTTCGTTGAAGTGTATCTCAGGTTTGGAGAATCAACATATTCTGCTTTATTTTGCTACTTATCTTTCTTTTTAAGTAGCTAGAATGGACTCATATGACTTCAAGCTCCAAATTACACATAGTAAAAATCAGTTATGAAAGAATACCATTATTTTTTTCAGTGCAATCCTTTGTCAACAGACAAACACAAATCTGAAAAGTTATTCATCATATTATTTGTTTTTCCATAAAAGTTAACCTCTATTACTTGCACTGTAAAATTATATATTTTTTAATCTTTGTTTCACATCATATCTATTAAAATAGATATCAAGTTTCTAACTTTCACCTATTGGCAAATCTGGGCAGCTGAACTTACTAGCAAAATCTCATTCCTCCGCTTGATCTTCCCAACAATAAATTTAACTACAAAATTTGAGAATAAATATTCTTCCTTCCCATTCTATTGCCACAGAAACCAATTTAATTAACTGCTCCCTAAAAAACTGAGTACGCAATCCTATGTCACCAATGTTTAATTTGGCTTTTGTAAAAGAAAATACGCATAATGTTCACTTTTAAGACTGCCAAACAATTTATTTTCTCCAGCAAACAAGCAGACACGCAGATCCCAATGTCTCAGCATGGTTTCTGTGTAGTACATGTGCATTATGTCCATGTGAAGCTCACAAGTGTGCCACGCGGACAATGCTGCACCTGTCTTTCTGTGAAAATCATCATGGCCCGCTAACCTTCTCCACAAAACAAATTTCTGGGTGGTACACCCTAGAAAGCAACCTTGCTTTATTCTTCCATCTTGTGCCCAACATGACCTCTTAACCAAACAGACTCCTCCAAAAAAAAAGGGCAAACCCCCCCCCCCGAACAGGCAGGCATTGCTGGGTACAACAAACCATAGGATCAGATGCGAAAATCACACAGCTGCAAGCATTCTTTTGGGAACCCAGCACTGGGATTTATCTCAATTGCTTAATGTAATTACAAAAGTCAGTCATGTAGTAGTAATGTAATTTGCACATTTTTACAGCTGAAGTGAAGTTGAATCTTTATGAGAGGCCGAGTGAAAAGCAGGGATCCTGCTGCCACACTATTCCACCACATTAGTACCAAATGACAAGCATTTTGCTTTTGTTTATTTTCCAAGATGCATTAATTAGGAAATCTATATAAACCTCCCTCACATGTTTAAGCTGATTATTTTATCTTTAAATGACTCCTGCACTTTTGAGAACAACAACAAAAAACCTAGCAGCCCTCATCTGTTACTCATATCCACGTTCATACTGCATTTATGCAGAATTTCTACACAATGCTATTTGAACTTCAGTGACGCACCATGCCAACCAGTTGTTACAACAGAAAGAAATCCAGACATAAGATAAATTGTCTTTACAGTGCCACATTCTGATATTAAAATTAAGTGTCTTTACTTTGGCTGCTTTTTTAGGAAGAAAGAGAAAAGCAATGGGGAAAAAAGCAGAAGATTGATTTTTAAGTGGAAAATATGAATTATTAATTGTCAGTTTTACACTACTCGTTTCTCACAAGTTATTTTTCATTTATTTAGAGAATATACAGAATAAATTTAAGAAAATTCAAGCCAATTAATAATTTAAAGGATGACAGTTATACTGAAAATATCACTGTAACATGAAATGAAATAAAATGCTACACTTAAAAAACACAAACTATTTGTCGTCAGTAGCAGAGCTAATTTGCATGGTTATACTTTGCATCCTTTGTGTTCTGCATGAATTACATTTCGCTTTCAGATTTTATTTTTAAAAAATCTTTATAGGCAGTCTAATTTAAAGAAAAGAAAACATCTTACTTAAGTTACATTTCTTCAGGGGAAGCACCAAGTGTGTCAGCCCAAGTATTTGACATAAAACAGGAAAAGCATTGCTGTTACATTTACCAAAGAGAAACAAGAACATCAGCTCTGCCTGGGAATTCCCTCTCGAGCCTACCACTTATTTACCAATCCATGGCTGTTTCCCAGCCTCTTCCAGCGAGGAGCCTGGCCCAAAGCAACAAAGCACACCAGGCAAACAGCTTTTCCTCTTCTCCTTGCCACTTAAGAAAACCAAACAAATCACCTTTGGGCCAACATTCCCAGAGCTCTCAAGAAGGAGATCCAAACTGCTCAGCACAGCCATACTCTCTGCCTCATAGAGAGGGTCTCTGAGTTTAAAACATTACTGGAAGTTGTGATAGTTTAAAATTAACCCTATCCTAGCAAAACCAGGACAGAAGTACACACATGCGCTTGCTTTTTGTGTGAAAATAAGCTTGCAGATAAGCCTTAGCCCCTTCCCAGCATGGAGCAGGAGACACAACTGCCCTGCAGGAGCAACCTCCGCGCTGAGACCTCTGGTTGTGGCAGGGGCCAGCCTGCAAGCCTTGCCCTGACTTCCTTAGCTTAGAAGGAAGCTGGCGTGCCTATTCGCTCACCCAGAACTAGGCACGTGCATGAATCTGAAGGATGAAGCGTAACTGTGCAGAGTGGTAACGCTGGGAAAGCAGGCTCCTCGGTCTGTCACCGGTTTAAAACTGCCCTGCACCTCCCACCGCCTTGCAGGAGGACCCTCGCGCTGCTGACAAGGCCGTTGGTACCCAGCTCTACCTCCTGCATCACGGCCGTGAACCTCCTTCTCCAAAGCACCACAGCAAGCGGGGTCGACTCAACGCACCCCCACCACAAAATGTGTGACCCCAGGCTGAGGCTGGATGATAGCTAGTCTTTAATTTCAATGCCTGGTTTCAGAAACTGGAGGGAAAATAAATGGGTTTAAATAAAACAGGAAAAAAAAATGTTTATGCCCTAAACAAAAACAACACAATTTTGTTTCCAGTTACAAAGAAGAGTTTCCAGTTGTATCAGGTAAATACTTAAACGAAATACATGCATTTTCAAAACAGAGCATCAAAATGAAACACAAATACATATACAGTGGAAATACATTCTGCCCTGCTCTCCTAGAAACACCTGATTTTCAAGAAATCCTGGGCCTAATGCAAGCTTACTTTTCCCAAGTTAGTTTGGAATTTCAGTTGCTTAATTTAAGACATTCCACAGAAAACTTAAAAGTGCCATATTGTGAAAACTTCAGATATTTTGAAGTTTCACAAATTAAGAATCTAAACCATAAAGCACACAGTCACATCATACAGCCTCATCCAGCAGTACAAAAATGGAATGAAATATTTTCCATTAAAGTAACTGAAACAAATAGTACAAGAAAGCTGCAATACCCATTTATTCCACGTAAACTTGAATCACAGAATCACAGAATGTCAGGGATTGGAAGGGACCTCAAAATATCATCTAGTCCAATCCCCCTGCCGGAGCAGGAACCTAAATGAAATCACACAGAAAGGCGTCCAGGCGGGTCTTGAATGTCTCCAGAGAAGGAGACTCCACACCCTCCCTGGGCAGCCTGTCCCAGTGCTCTGACACCCTCACAGCAAAGAAGTTTTTTCTCAAGTTTAAGGGGAACCTCCTGTGTTCCAGCTCACACCCATTGCTCCTTGTCCTATCGTTGGGCATCACTGAGAAGAGCCTGGCTCCATCCTCCTGACATTCGCCCTTAACATATTTATAAACATTAATGAGGTCACCCCTCAGTCTCCTCTTCTCCAAGCTAAAGAGCCCCAGCTCCCTCAGCCTTTCCTCATAAGGGAGATGCTCCACTCATCTCACAGCTGAAGCTGTGAACAAAAGTGAAATCACATACTGTATTTCATTGCTCCAAGCGAAAAGATGACAAGGTAGCAATTTATCAATTTATTACAACTGAATAATTTAATACACAACTTGTGACTAGATAAAAATATAAAACAACTATTTCTGAGTGGCCCTTCATTTTTTGCCCCCAAAAATACATAACACCATAAACCAGTAGGATTTATGCATATGCAGCTAGAAGAATACCTAGACTAATTCAGGAAGGCAATTCTTTTCCATTCATACTTCCAACCAGTTGATTATCCCTGCTAAAAACTGCAACTAATTGTTTTAAAAGTTTACTTAAGCTGGTTTTTGTGAATAAAATCTGGAATCCAAGGTACTCTAAATCACAAGCCAGAAATGCTGCCGTGTTACAGCAGGTATGAATAACTTCAATATTATCAAGAGTAGACAGTTGAGGGCCACACATACAAAGTTCTATCTACTATTACATATATTGAGAAGCTCCTAACACAATAAAATAATTTAATGCTATTTTCTATTAATAGAAATAAGCATTCTATCAATGAAAACCCAGCAACATAAAAGAACAGAAAGCATTGCATACAACAACAGAGTACTAGAAAATCCATTTAAACAAATGTAATTAACTGAAGAAAACAAATCAGAAAAATTTTGAAATGTGACACATCCACACTAGGAAAATTCAATTCATTTACGCCTCTATATATTTTTTGTGTTTATCTACAATAAACTTTATTCATTAAAGACAAAATATGGAAAATCTGTTCTATAGTGCTCAAAATATTTTTAAAGTGTAATCATACAGTATAAAAAAATGAAATTATCTTTTGATTACTTGGCCAAGTAATTGTGCAATTACAAAATACATTATACACGCATCATACATAATTTTTCAATTGCATATTTAACATGACTCAAAATCTGAAACACTCATTTTTAGAGACAGTACAGTACAGATGTCTCCAGATAAAACTCTTTGTGTAAACTTACTTGGTTCAGCCCTGGAACCATGTTTTTGAAGAAAGTCAACTATCTGAGCCAAAACCTTTTTGTTGCAATGTGTTGACAGCTCTTCATCACATTCATAACACCTAAACGAGAGAAGAAACGAACTGGAATTCAGGATATCTGGATGCATCTCCCAGCGCTAACAAACCTCTCAAACAACCTTACACAAATTACTCCAGCTCTAGGCTTCAATTTTTCATACTAAAAAGAGGAAATAAAATTGAATTCTCTCATCCCATATATGCTCTTCTATAGAGCAGCCCGAATTCACTGCAATACTTACAGATTTAAATAATCTCAGTTTACAGTCCTTCAGATAATCATATACAAACAAGCAGGAAGGACAAACTCCTGTAACCAGCCAACTCTACAGAACACAATGGACTCAAACTTCTCAGTATTGATTTGTGACCTCTCTGAGAGCCCTCGGGACAAACTGATTTTCTCTCCAGAAAGCCTGCCTTTTCTCTATGTAAAGTATTAATTTTATCTGTCAGAATCATTCTTTATCAGGAAAAGACACTGCTTTAATATACACAAGCATACATGAACACCTGCGTACTCATTCCTACCATATGATCCACGTGCTGAGGCTGATAACAATGCAATGAGGTTCGGTGCGAGCTGTCTGGAAGTGCTTCAGAGAATGTTGGCCTTCCGAGTTCTTGCTACAGCCCTAAAACAGAAACATCAAAACAGTAAGGGGGAAAAAGGGAAGTAGGAAAAGAATATACTATTAGTAAAAGATTAAATCATTAGTAAATAAACTGCAAAAACTTTTTTTTCAAAATTAGACAGAAAGTCATAGTGCCCTAAATACTCATTTCACATTCTCAGGGATTGAGAGGGTTTAACATTCTTTAGAATCCAGTATTATAAAGATATCAATTTACTTTTTTTTTTTTTCTAAATTAACACATTTTCTTTTTACTAATAAATCACAGAATCACAGAATGGCAGGGGTTGGAAGGGACCTCTGGAGATCATCCAGTCCAACCCCCCTGCCAAAGGAGGTTCACCCAGAGCAGGTTGCACAGGACCACGTCCAGGTGGGTTTTGAACATCTCCAGAGATGAAGACTCCACAAGCTCTCTGGGCAGCCTGTTCCAGGGCTCTGTCACCCTCACAGTAAAGAAGTGTTTCCTCATCTTCAGATGGAACCCCCTGTGTTCCATCTTGTGCCTGTTGCCCCTTGTCCTATACTGGCCACCACTGAAAAGAGTCTGGTCCCATCCTCTTGACACCTGCCTTTTAGGTATTTGTAAACATTAATAAGGTCCCCTTATTAATGGGGGAACTATTAATAATGATTAATAATAATTTCCCTTATTAACAAAGGAAAATAAATGTCAACACAAACCCTAAATACCATCTTTTCTACTTGGAAAAATCAGTTAAAATATTTTTAACTGATTTAATTTAACAGTAATTATAGAAAATTACTAAGTTTGGTTTAACTTAATAGAAATAATTCTTAGCTTTTGAATAAGTATCAATAGACAGCAAATTATGCCATTCAAAAAAGTAAGAATTCTCAAAAAAAGGTGAATTAAATGACTGTGTAACATATTTGGTCCACAGAATATGAAGGAAAGGACTTAGAGCGAAAGCATTTGCAATTTTTCAAGTATCTACAGAGTGGGACTTAGAAGATTCAAGACTGGTCTCTGAATGAGACATGAGCTTTGGAGGCTATTAACAGCACAAACATGCAAAGAGCACACAGATTTAACTCTTTTTAAAAGCCCTCCTTAACTACAAAACTCCAGAGACAAGCTGAGTCCTCCTCGGATCTAGTTAACTACCTCTGAAGCCTGTTAATAGCATGTTTCTTTGCAAAACTAAATCTGGTCAGATAACACTGGTAGGAGCTGGCTTCTGTCCTTACTATGGCAATACCTACTGAAAGTCTAAGAAAACTGTGAAATGCTTTGTTCAGGTAGCTGTTAGCTGAACCAAGCATGACATTGCCTGTAAAATTATTTTTTCTGTATCAGACTTTACTTCACTCACAGGACAGAAACCTGCACAAGGCCTTGGGGTCAGGACCTGCCATTTTAAACCCTGAAGCCACAATTTGACATTTTAACTGATCCAATCTAATGGTTAGCTGCCACAAAGAGCAGCATTCTCACTCCAGCACAGTCCTTTCTCCCTGGTTTCTATCAAATCAAGCAATTGGGTGTCTATAGTATAAGTTCATTCAGCAATATACATATCCATTTTTTCATTCATTTGTATCTGGGGGATCTTCTGCCAGATGAGCCAGCTGAACGGATGCATTTTGCAGCCACACAGTTCCTGAAGCCAATTCTCCCTAAATGGCAAAAGCATCCAGATGAAGAACAGAGAAAAGGCAGGACTCTCTGTGATGCCGAGCTGCACCACAACACATAAAGCTAACCCAAAAACTAACTAAGTTTGGGCTAACGTTGCCAAAAAACAGACAAGGGCGTAAGGCCACATCCCACTCCACTGAAGAAGCTGAAGCATGGACTCTCACAACTTAAGCACTTATTCTGTTTCACTGAGGGTAATGAGATGCCAGACAGATAAGGGTCTGTATCCATCACACCCTTTAGAAAATCAGGGCCTATCCACCTCCATAGATTTCCACTGTATGCTCACCTGAGAGCCACATTTGAGACACAGCCATATGTCTGAGGGTGCTACAGGCTCGCCATCACTCATCCGCCTCTCCTTCAGACACTCTGCACATACTGACCAGACGCTCTGAGCGACCGCTCTCTTCACATGGTGCACATCCACCGCTTGGCTCACGTGCTGGCAGGTTAAGCCTGGAGAAAATTACACATACTCACTTCCAGCCATTAAAAATAATAGTTATGAGAGGGAGCACATGTATCTTAACAGAGCAGAATCTTCAACAAGTTCAGCATTAGGGAAAAATAGTCAAGAACTAAACCAGGAAAAATCAGCCAGCTGCTCCCCTCACACTGAATTTTATGAAGGATCTATTTCAGTGTTTTTATAATGAATATCCTTCTAAGTCAATAAATGCCACCTCTTAAAAACAGATAAGCTAGTCTGTACAAAAGTACAAGGATTACTTTTGAACAAACTTCATTTCCCTGGTTTTTTGTTGTTTGTCTGGGTTTTTCTGTCAACAGTAAAATACTACATAAATCTATTTTTGCACACAACAGCACAGGTAGTTACCTCCTTCCCTATTCATAAAGAAAGATTTCCAAATACCCACACATCTGTACTACAACTGCATGTTCTGAACATGAATATCAACCACCATTCTTCTCTGTCGTACTTTTTGCACAAATTCCACTATAACATCACAGAATAACCTAGGTATGAAGGGATCTCTGAAGGCCATCGTGTCCAAAACCTCATGCAAAGCAGGTTCAAACACCAATTTAGATCTGGTTGCTGACAACTTTGTTCAGATGAATGTTGAATACCTTCAAGGACAGAGGTTTCATCACCTCAGCAGAAAATCAGTTTTTTTGTCTCACCATCCTCATGGTGAAAACAAAATACATTTCCTCATACCTAGCCAATTTTTCCTTGCCCTAACTTTTGTCAGTTGTCTTCAGTCCTTCCATTGCGGACCTCCTAGAAGAGCCTGGCTCTGCCTTCTCTATAAACACCTACCAGGCAGTGAAAGGAACTACATGTTCACTCTTTTGGCTAAACAGACCCATTCCCTTCAGCTCCCCTTCACGCACCATGTTCTCCACTTCCTTAACCACATGGAGGGGGTTACCCACTGCTGTGCTCACTCTGGCAAATCCAGGTCTTTCTTGTAACAGAGAGCCCACAACTGTGTCCAGTTGTGGGCTCCACATGAACTCTCACAAATGCTGAAGAGATGGGAAGAACCACATACCTCAGCCTGCGCTCTGGTTAACACAGTCCAGCATACAGTAGGCACAAGCTTTTATCCAGCATGTGCATGAGGACACCCAGAACCTTTTCTGCAAAGCTGCTTTCAAGTCACTGATTCCCACCCTGTAATTGCATGTGGTTATTTTGGCCCAGGCACCAGACTCTCCACTTGCCTTTGTTGAACTCTGTGAAGTTTATGCCAGCCCGTTTCTCCAGCCAGTCTAGGTGACTCTGAATGACAGACCTACCCTTTAGAGTATCAACTGCTCTCCTCAATTTGTTGTCATGAAAATGACAAGAGTGTAGCCTCACAATGACATCACCTTGCTCTCTCAGCACCTTCAGATGCATCCCATCTGATCCCATGGACTTGTGCAGGTCCAGTTTGCTTAACAGCTCTCAGTCTTCTACTCTGGACAATGCTTGAATCCCAGAGTCTGCCTTTAGGCTCAGGGACCAGGGAGGACCGAGTGCAGAGCTTCTATGTAAAGACAGAAGCAAAGCAAGGATTGAGTTCCTCAGCCTTTTCCCACAGCCCATGTCCCTAGGTCCCCTGCCCCCTCAAGCAGCAGGTCTGCACTTGCCTTAGCCTTCATTTTACTGTCACAGTATCCATACAAGCCCATCTTAGTTTTCCCATCCCTCATGAGACTCAACTCTAACTGAGGCTGGCTTACCTAATCCCATCCCTGCACACTTGGGGCTCCTGCAAGGGCAGCCCAAACCTGTCTCCACCCTCTCAGCCCTTCCTTTTTGCCGCTGAGCTCAGCTGGAAGCTCCCCATTCAACCAAGCAGCCTCCTGCCATGCCTGCTTGACCTTCCACACAGGAAAGGACCGTTCTCCTGCTCTGAAGAAGTTGTCATAGAAGATCAACCAACTCTCCAGCCCTTCAGGGCAGACACACAGTGAAACAACTGATCATGTCATAAACACTTGACTGGGGATATTTCTGCTATACATTCAATCAGGAAAAGTATTTCAAGGTGCAACTGATTTGTGGTTTTCATCAGACAAAGTGGAAGTTATTAGCCCTCAACCTCAGGGCCAAACATCACCTAATGTCTTTACCTGAAATATCATCTGAAGAGTCCTCATCCTGCGGCCTGTTAGGCCTTTTGCTTCTCTTTGGTTTCTCGGGGTTGGCTCTTGATGGATCTTTCACCCGCATCTGTTACTTACTAGGAAAGAAAAAAAAGGATTGCTCTATTGTCGCAACGCTTCATCAAATCACACATTCAAACCTCACAAACACAGTTTTAGGCTTTGACTAGTGTCAGCTATTGTGTAACAAGGAGTTTGAACGTGTCAGGAATGAACTCTTAGCAATGCTGCAAGATCAGTTAGTTACACTACATGACATTATGGACTGTATCTGTAGTTGCAGGGGTCACACGCTTCCAGGCAGTGGTGTTAAATATTTGAGATACCAAAATTTTCTCTATTTTGATACTATAAACTACTACAAAGCTGGAGCCATACCTTACCAGAATAACTTCATAAAAAAACCCGAAAAAACTTCTCTTCCTTTAACATATCTCCCTTAGGAAATGTTTCAGTCACCATTTACTCTTGCACATTCCCTAAAAGCTTCTGAGGAATTTCAAACACTTAAATAAAATACAGAAGTCTTCCAAATCTCAAGAAAGTATCCTCTCCTGTAAGTGAGGATAGACTGGAGTGCAAGCTGACTCTTCTATTAAACATCAGACAATCCATACAGATGAAGTCTCTTACAGGGAATTAGGGTCATTAACCAAGAGTCCTGTGAGGAACAGAATTAAAGGATAAATATTTGCCATTAAACTTAAAAAAATAAAAAAATCCTCAGAGATCTCAGCACACAGTTCATTCAATCTAAATCCAAATGTGAATTCACTGAAGGAGTGCAGCTGTGCATCACACAAACAGCTTCTGAGGCTTAGTTTACAGGTTGTCTTTTAACAACATGCTTCACAAGAACAAATTTATGTTTTCATATACAAAGCATATGGATGTAAGATAGTAAAATATTCATACACTGCAAACTTGTGAGCCATTCTGTTTAGGAAAAAAAGGACGTCTTGTTGTGTACCACAAACAGGTTAATAATGTCACCTGAGCCATCAGTACCAAACATTTTCAACTGTGCTATCTCATTTATGTACAGGAAACTTCTAAAATGTCCTGCATTTGGAAAAAGCAAAAGATATACCTACATGATCTGTAGCAAGGATAAACTTTTTGCCAAAGTTTAAAAAGTTTGTCTACCTAAGTTTTTAAATCTTCTCTGTATATGCATTTAGATGCTTGTAGAATCACAGAATGGTTTGGGTTGGAAGGGGCTTTAAAGATCACCCAGTTCCAACCCCCCCTGCCATGAGCAGGGACACTGTACTACTGAAGCTCTGAGAGACACAGGAATTGACCTGTATATTGAACTCATTATTCCCTCTTCTTTCTTATCCATGGAGCCAATCAGCAGAACAGTCATCAATACTGATACTAGAGCACCACCAGCAGTGGCATCTGAACAGCCTTCACTGAAGTGAAGAAGGCAATCCATACCTCAGAGCTCCTGCTCCAGCTTCCTACGGATCTGGACAGACGTCTCTGCATTTACCACACATACTGTTAGTGATGGAGGTTTTCTGCATGAACATATCAATTAGAGAGTGACTTTGGACAGGTCAAGTTTCTGAAGAGTATGAAAGAAACCTTTACTCTCTGCTTCCCTGCATCAACAGCTTCATGCCACCTCAACGTTTCAAAATGCACTTCATTTCTTGCAGAATGTGACATCTACATAGCAATCAGTTCATACTATATCAAACAACATGATATTCTTAAATTGTAGATTTCAAAATTTCCTGTACTTAAGGGTATAAAGCTTCAAACATTTAGACATGCAAGTGAACAATGCCACTGAATTCAGCTTTGCTGATTTTGAAGGTTCGCAATTCATGTTCATACAGTAAGAAAGACCTGAATATTCCAGCTCTTGACTATTTATATTCAACAGATGTTGGCACGCCTAATGTACATCAACAGCCATGCATCACAGCGTCCCTAGAGCATGAAAAGGTGCTTCAGACCCAAACAACTTCAACTGCCTTGGCACCTTATCATATATATCCAAGCTTCACGTGAAACTACCCATCACCACTTGTCGCACTGCCACTTAACTGAGCCCAAGATTCACCAAGACATTCATCAAACAGTAAGGCTGATACAGCTGCTGTTAGAAAACACATGATTTTACACTAAATTATGTAAAAAGTCAATAGCAAAGACAGCAAAAATGTCCTCCCTAAAGGAATGTGGTTGTGTTTAGGTTATTCAACATTGACATAAACAATCTATGAGTTCATTTCAGCATAACAATTTTTATCTCTTTGGACAGATTATGTAAGACTGTCCAAACCACAGATTTCACCCGAATGAAAGTCATGTTCATATCAGCACATTTTGAGAACTCACGTAACTTCATGAAAGAACAATTATGGGTCCAACCAGCTGACATACAAGCAAGTCTTTACCACCTGTGACATCCTCTGGCCTATAGGCCAGGTGACACGATCTGGAGCAGGGCACGCACAGCCCACCACTGAACCCACTCCCTAGAGTCCTTCAGGACACGTGGAAAAGAGAGCATCACCTGGTACCCACAACAACTGAAAATGTGGATTTCTAGCCCAACATAATCAACCTGGCATTAGGAATAAAGGTTGGCACAAGAAGATGGCTTTCACACAGCAGGTCTGGGAACCCACGGAGCAACCCAGAGAATTTTCAGTCTTCTTTCAGTAAGCACAGGCAGAACAAAAGATAACACGGACCATTAGATTAATCAGTTTCCACTGACACACATATAGACAGGCACCCATCAGACAATGTTTACTGACCTGTGAGCTCTAGGAAAAGCCACAGCATATCAGGGACCTAGCCAGCCTGGGACTGTGTCTGATTCTGAAAAGCACCTAAGTGGGATGAAAGGGTACGAACAACGAGCTGCTCGGCACACGTGTAAGTGGCACAATATATAGGCAGCACTATTTGCCCTTTTCCAGTATATCTGGGGACAGAATACGTAACAAGTAAAAGATCTCCTTTAACAATTAAAAACGTGATCAATGTTTCAAAATCAAAATGTTTACATCAGGAATTTGATTATTATATGTAATTGAGATAAACAAGGAAGAAATCTAAGATGCTTCAGAAATTACTTCTCAGAAATATTTCAGTTTATGGGAAAGAAAAGACTGAGATTGTATTGGAAAGAAAACCCTGAACAAACACAGACCCAAGAAAGCATAAAATGCAGCTAAGAAAAAAGCAAGAGAGAAATTCTCTAGGTTTCTGTTGACCACAGGCACAAGCCACTCAGGACAAGCAGGCAGAGGAAAAATGAACAATTTACACAAAATGAACTTGATACACTGAAGATTAAAAACCATGGCAATGTTCCCATGATTTGCTTCTTTCCAACCCATTATCCTATTTTTTAATATGTTCAATGAGTAATCTGTGGCTACAGCCATCAACTCTGGAGTGTCCTAAAGGAGACAGATTCTCCTTCTTTCCCTGTGCAGAAAGAAGTCTCCATGAATCTTTGCTTGGACATTTCTTTTTGTGATGGAAAAACAAACATGGTAAGTTTTTCATTTTGTATACACCAAATCAAGTCACAGTGGAAATGACACTTGACTAGTGAATCTGACAAATAAAAACCCTCTGATTTTTGTGGTAGAAAAAGCTGAGTTCAGAGGGTATGTTAGCTCCACCATGATCTCTATTTGTCACACAGTAAAAACCTTAAATAGAAATGATCCAGTTTCATGGGGAAAAAATAAAAATAGAAAAAGCTAAATCTCTTCCTTTTAAACAATAATTTCATAAAAACATTAAGAACTAGTCCTTGCCAAACATGTTCAGATTCATTCAGCTCAGCATAGAAGAGTGTGAAGTGTAATTATCATCACTTGCTATTCTCGGTTTACTTTTTACTTCTTAAAAGACTCCTAATGGCAGTCTGCCTGCAAAAAGCTGATTAAGATCAAAAGCTCCTCACTACAACTGCTCGTTTCCACCATTCTAGAAAGAACAAACCACTTCAAAAGCAGCAGAATGATCTGCCTACCTAATTTTAAAAGCTTAAAATTTGACAAAGCGCCAGAAATCAATGTGCTAAATTTGTTAAATTAAATCTAAGTTATGCCCAGATTATTTTAAATGTAAGGCATGCCTGAAATAGTCTATATTTAACAACATTAATATTTCTATATTTAGAAATGCACCCTCTTCATAAAGTATATATTTAGAAACTAAAAAGAGCTGGATGTAGGTTCTAAAATAAATAATTCTTATTTTTTAACGTTTTATATTTTACTGGAACTCATTAGAGTTAAGACCAGTAAAAGATACAAAGCTAATGTGAACTAGAACTCACTTTTCCTTTGCCGTGCTGACTACCACCATATCACTGCTTCCATCTGCCAAGATCCACTTTTTCCTTCCTCTTATAATCAGGGTGCCAGCTCTTTCAGGCAACTGCCACATTTTTGTTCTTATCTGTGTAATACCTATCGCAACGTTTTTCCTGATTCTTGATTAATTAGGAGGATTACACTTGCATTACTAGAATGCAAACAACAAGATAAAAAAGGTGCAATAACCACCAGCTCACCTAAGTTAGTTACCCCATGAAATATAGCCAAGTGGGTCCACAGATAGTCTCCAGGTACTATTTTGGATACGAGTAAGACTTTCCCAGTAGGACTGCCCATTAAATGTTAATTATTTCATTAGTGAGCACTTGAATTCAAAGAAGCTGGGGCAAACACATTTACCTCAACCCCTCAATTCATCTGAGGTATCCTAAATTCCAGCTGTCTCGCCACCTGTAGTCAAACTTTCAAGTTAAAATGATACCATCTGATGTTGCTAATGCAAAAAACAACCCTGCATCAGACTGAAAAGGCATAAAATGCACTGAGTACAGTGAAAAATCAGCACTTTCATGGAACTTAACAGGACCATCCAGATGTCAACAGCAGCCTACCACCAAAGCAAGGGGCTGAGGAACAGCACAGATGTGCAGATCAAGTCCAAAAAGCCAAGATGCTCCATAGCACATCTGTGAAGGCTCTTTATGAGCCTCCACGTAACTGTCAGAGCACAGCAAGAAGAGCC